GTAATGTCCTTATTTATTTTATAATTATAAGTATTTTTCTGGCATATTTGCTGAAACGCATATATGACCTTCAAATTGATATTGACAAGTCTTATGTCATGTAACATGATCTAATAGGACAATAAACTATCTATCTATCTATCTATCTAGCAGATTTGTTGCATCATCACATTGATGACAAGATATCAGAATGACCTGATATATGTATATTATTCTTGAAAATTCACTATAATCATTATAACAACCTTTGGCAGATTGTAATGAAAAACATTCTCCATTTCTGATACTAGATTTGGTGTCTAACCGGCTATTAATTAAAACTACTGGTCACAGTGTCTTGGCAGCATAAGCAAAGTATTAGCTGCTACCTTACCAACACAAATTTAATATGCCGGTCGCCCAGCCGTTGCCATGCAATGCTCGGGACGATGATGTCACGAATGCAACTGACTACTGGGGCACGACAGGCTGCACTGCCTCAAGATAAGTTTCAGAATTTATATAATGGTTGATATCACATTGCCAAATGGAATCACCCCGTATATCTTTGTGCGTGCTTATTTGGGCGAGCGTCGTAGAATCCGCGAAGAGGACATAAACGGTATTGCGAGCATGGAGCATTTAGTATTCGCGCTAGTAACGGTAACTTGATGAGAACGTTCGCACGACAAAATTGTCCAATTCAACATACTTAACAGCATTTAGCACGATGTATATCTTACAGCGATGCCGGAAAAGGAGATAAGAGGGGCTTCACTATAATCATTTTGATCGTGGTATAATCAATGTATACAAATTGGATACTGGGGTAGCTAGAGAAAAAACTTTTCATATTTAAATGTCTTAAGCAGTGGCAGTAGCTTTCTCCTCTTTCCAGAAATCAAAACTCCTTGGTAACTGGTCGTATCGGCGAACGGTCGTTCCAACCGAAGGCATTCCATTTCGCACGGGTATTACATATCTTAAAAAGTCACATTTTGTCGGGCTTTTTTGACATTTCGTAGGTTTTTCTACAAGATGTTAACTTTGCACAAGCTGTTGTATACTCGTTTTGTAGCTGTACGTGTTGCTTAAACGTCAGCGAAAAATGATCATAGCAAGCAAACGTGGAATGAACTGTTTGCACACTAAAAACTACCTAGTCTGCAAGATGACACTCCGTCGTTTTTTGACGTTTTTTACATTTAGCCGTGCCGCTCTTTTTATTGCTGCTAAAGGAGGCTCTAAATATCTACACGAACAATATTTTTGTGCAATATTCAGTTATTACTATGACATTTATATATCGGATATACCAGTTATACATACAGTTGTCAGAATTTCTCAATAGTGGGGCTACAAAATCAGGCAGGAATGACTGATAAAATTGTTCGCATTGCGGAAATTACATTACTTACACTAAATAGAATTTGTCAATATGACAGCAATATATGAAAATAGGTCGTGAATGTCACATGTGTAGCAGTATATCTGGGCCATACTAAAAATAATGCCGTATGTTATTGGCTACTAGTTACAACAAGCTACTAACGTATCTCCTGAAAGTTTTGGCACAAAATATTTATCGGATTTTCGAATGTCTCATGAGATCCTAGACGGAATTCCAATCGATTTATCTCAGTTTTTAGTAAATTTGCCGTCTTAATTGTTCTTCATATTGGGCTTCCCAGCCTCCATGAAAAATCTTCCTAGACAGTAAAGCCCAAAAACCGTCTATTGGGCGAGCCTGCGGCAAGTTTTTAGGATTATCGTTTTTGAGAACAAACGGTATGTTGTGTTGTCGAAACCAGTTTTGGGTATCTCTTGAGTAATGGCATGATGCTAGATCTGACCAAAATATGATATGTGGTCGTAGACAAACTGAATTAATTTGGGAAGGCAGTTATCCATATAGCTCAGACTATTCAAAGCTTCACCCATCACTCTTCCGACAAAAGCTAGGGGATACACCCCTGTTAGAAATTGCGCAGCAGGCAAGGATTTTATCTGCAAATTTCGCTTTATGTTTGTATCTAACATTGTCAGGGCATTTTCCTTCGTTCATGCTTCCCTTCATTTCAGAATTACTCAAAGTGAAATACTTTTCGTCATCTAAAATAATGATTTTTCCCTCAGTTGACGAAAACATCGTATACGAAGGAGTTGCGCCTGAGAGTATTTGGGGCACTTAAGTCTCTTTCGATATTTAAGACCAATCCTCCTCAATTCCAGCGATATCGTAGTCTTAGAAGATCTGTATTGACGAGCCCGTCTCACCAATCTCTCTGACGTCTGTGCAGTAAATGCACGTGGTCTTCCACTTTTTGTACCCGCCCAACCAACTTAGATACTTTCTCTTATTTCTAATTTATACATCTTAAAGCGGACACTTCAAAATGTCAACTGACAGTAAAGTAAGTAAACAAACTTTTATTTCCAAAGGCAACTTGATTTTATTATGTGTTTGTTAAAATTAAAGCCAATGCATTTTGTGCCATAACTTTTGTGCCGTTTAGAAGCGCCATAAGAAATATACTCGTGGCAGCCAAGCACTTGCATGCAATAGTTGCCGCTTTAGCTGCCTGGGTTGGGTGGGGGTGGTATAGAAACGAATAGATTTGACCGCTAAGTGAGCCAACTATAAATATTCCGCATAGTTGGTATTAGTAGACACGATAGATAACGAATTATGTACTCAATAAGCGTACATCTATTGAACCTACTAGCGAGGAATTATTGTAATGGCGAAAATGTTCTGAAACGAGATTATGTTTTTTTGGATGATATATGACAGGAAAAACCTTGTCACTCATTTCCGTCGGTCTGTCCGCTAATCTTATGACCGCCTATAACTTGGTAGTTTTTGAAAGTCTGTCCACTGGACGCAGAGAAAAGGGCCTCAAAACAAAAAAAGTAAAAATGGCCAAAACTTCGTTTTTTGCCGTTCCAGAGGATCCTGATCATATTTGAAAAACATTTTTGCGGCAAAATAATAATTTACTAGTGCTAGTTCATTTATACAATCTTATAATTAGTAATACTACCCACCTATTACACATATTTCACATTGCATAGATTTCTCTGTACATATTTCAAACTGCATAGATTTCTCTATACATTAGCTCTGAAAACTTGGAAAAATATTTTCGGGAGACGGATCACGTAATATCGGCCTTGACTGCTACTGTCGTCGTGCGTCCACCGTAACGAGTATTCTGATATGGAATCACACGTATTTTTGCCGAGCAACAGCATAGTGCTTTCTATGCTCTGAACGCGCTACCGTGGTGTCTAGATGCCTTACCGGTAGGGCAGGGAAATAATGTCTATGGACCTGTTCGACTGACTTTTTTCTCAGAGGGACTATTTTGTGCTGAACATGTTCCTCTATGCACTGATATGAGCGTTGCGTGGAAAGTGCAGAATCAACCTATTTGACGCCATTTTTTAATATAATAGCAAGAGTAAATATATCGAACTTTTTTACGCTAAAACTAAGGGGTGGTTCCAAACAGGTGATTTTCTTTACCCCGAATTCGGCCTCACGACTCTTCAAGATTTTTCAATGGTCATATTCGCATTTAGCGACTCGAATTAAGTGTTAGAATTTTTATTGACTTGTAACAACATTAAACGAAAATGGAATTTTTGCCTTACAAGACGGGTTATCAGGAAAATTTCAAAAATTGAGTTTAATTTGCATGTAACAACAACCGACTCAATTGGAAATTTTGCATCTTATACTTTTATAGTATTATAAAGACGCACAATAAGAGATTTTTCAAAAATCTTTGCTTATCTGTAATTTGTACGAAAACTGGTACATCTTAGATCCTACACTCAGCCTAACGACACTTTATTTATTTGTGGAGCAACAGAACACGAAAACGGTAGTTGTAATCCCAAAAAGGGCCGTTAAATTCATATAACTTTTCACTCATCTTCTCTTTCAGTGGATATTCGTAGACAAAGTGGAATATCCATGAATAATGCTAATACCCCAATCTTTATATTGTACAAGCTTTTCTTTAACTTGACCTGTTAGTAGGAGCATGTTAGTATGTATGTTATAGTCCGGTATCGAAAAGGAAGGGAGTAGAAAAACACATCGTACGCCACTGTTAACGTGGCATGTCTTTGAAGTACGGTAGGATCCGCGCGCACAGACTTTGTGTATACAAAGGCCTGTCCTGCTAGCAGTAGCGTACGATGTGTCATACTATTCTCTTCCGTTTAGGTTCCCGAGTATAGTATGAGCCAAATCTTTGAAGCTGAATTTTGAACTGAGTAATGTTAACCAATTGAGCTGAAATTTTATATACAACTTTGGCTCTCATGACAGTTCATAATAAATTGAAATGTTACAAAATGGTGATCTATCATTTCCATAGTAACCCCTATTATATGGGTATCAAATGAAGACGTTGATGAGAGAAACACAATTGATGAGCAAAGCATAATAAGTTAAGCTACGGCCATTCTCAATCCAATATGGCTGACGTGTAATATGATAATGCACATATTATGACATGGAGCTGATCTGACAGAGCCGAAATAAAACCAATAAAGCGACGCAAACTCATTAAGTTGGGACTCGTTCGACGCTTCTGGTCCTAGGGTCTGACGAATAAGTTCGTCGGCTGTTATGTCAATTAAATACTCATCTGTAAGAACCATATCAAATTTCAGCTTGTGAATATCAGATAGGTCGGTAAAACATCAAGCTTACCTACAGATATACAATTTTCGTAATATAAGATTCATCGAAATATACTAATAATAAAAATAAAGGAGTTTTCTTAAGTCCTGTCAATAAAATACTCGTATATGTAAGTTAGATAAAAATCAGTGAATTTTAACAGCAGAAGGGAAAAGGTTGCAACACGCTTTTACTTGAAAACCTGAGACGAAGGAGCTTCATTATTATTTAAACGTTTAATACTTATCAACAGCTAAACGAGATCATTTTTTTAGTTATTCTTGTATTCTCCTGATCTTACGTTACATTTTTCTTGTTCCAGGGCGACTATATTCGGCATCCGGTCATCTACGAGCTCTCCCATAAATACGGCCTCCCCACCGAAAACCTCATCGAGTCTCAACTACCGGGCAAGCTTGAGGAGCTAAAGGAGATCATCCGTAGGGAGATCCGCAAAGAGCTCAAGATCAAAGAGGGCGCTGAGAAGCTACGAGGTGTCTCAACTGACAGACGGTCGCTCAGCCATGTTGCTACGATTGTCAAGAATTCCAACTGGAAGCTCACCGAGCTCAAGAACGAGCTTAGTGAGCTCGAGTCGCAGATTATACTATCACAAGGACAGAGTACGCTTGCGTCGATTCCTACCAATGGAGGTAAATATATACAGGATATTACCGCGAATATTATACCGGCGGAGCTTCATAGGAAATCTGACGATCACCACCTACTATTGGTTTGCCAAGCTGATTTTCATCCTGATCCCATATGAGGAAGATGTCAGAAGACCTCTATGGTGAATTCAAAATTGTACATTCTGGTTAATTCTGAGGCTAAGGAACCAGGCATAATATCGTAAAAGCAAAAAACCGATTATCTAGAGCATACATTTCTCTAGCTTCTTCTTTTTGCATTGTTGCTGAATCTTCAAAGATAACTAAAATCTTTATAAAAGGGAAAGCATTTTATGCCTTCTAACAAAGCGCTGAAGTTGGTATCAGCTGTCTAGCGCATTCCCCTTCTACAGGTCTGAAGAAAACCAGCGGCCGTGTGCCACTTCCCATCTCGTGTCTGTCACCAGTGATGTCATGTCTAGGGATATGTCTCTAGTTACAAAGAACAATAGGGACGTGGGGACATTCAAGGGACATTTTAATTTATTAAATAAGTGCTTTATTTCTGTTTTATTGGCGACTCGTTATTGCCCGCGACTTCGTACGTGTTAAACAGTTGCTAACATATAACATTGTTTTTGGGTATTGTTATAATTGCATTGCATTAATATTTTAACAGTCAATTTGCATGCTTGGGAAATTCGGTTATTTTATTAACGGAGCCACCGGAGGTAAAACCGCAAGGTGGAAAGCTAACAAATCAATAATATTGCCAATTTTTTGAAAATATTTTAAATTGTACTTTATTTTACATTGTAAAAGCTATCTCTCCGCCAAAGTTCCGGTTACATAATCCATTCTTTAGAGTCTGCTATAAACAAAACCTCATCATTGACATTTTTTAGATATTAGGAAACTAAGCAATTTCAAACAAACTTGAAAGTGAGCTTTAATCCCTTAATCCGCCCCTGTCCCAAAATCCGCTCTTAGCTGAAATGTCCTGGCCATAAGCTACCTCCCTGCCAAAGTTCATGTTTGTAGGTAAAATAATTCCAAGATTTCGTGATTAATGTGTAACTTTTCACTTTAACATATATCTGTCCTTAGCCACATTAATCTAGCCCCGTTGAGAAACCTGTTTTTAGTTGACATTGCTTCTCCATGAAATGCCTCTTTGCCAAATATCATATACATAGGTTGAATAGTTTACAAGATTTCATTTTTCGCTTTTACATGTTCTTGCCCGTAGCTCCCTTAATACTGCCCCGTTGTGAAATCACTCTCTCTGAATTTCATGTTCATAGGTTAAATAGTTTTCGACATTTCGTGATTATTCCGGCCCAATTTTAAAATCTGTACTTAGCTGATATGTTTTGTGCATCAACTCCGTCTTTGCGGAATTTAATGTTCAACGTATCTTTCTGCATTTATGTATATCTGCTCATAATCTTCCTTGATCCAGCCCTATCGCAAAATTAGTTCTCATTTGATGTTCATAAAAGTCAAATGAGTTCTAGATAAATTTCGATAAACTTGAAAAGGTATAAGGTTCCCTTTAGAAGTATTCAACCCCTTCCTACCCCATCTTGAGGATATAATTTCTATTAATTGTTAGGAACAATTATTTTAAAGATAAGATTGAAGACAAACAACTACTTTTGGGTGGAATAATTTGAAATATTATAAATTCTCTACAAAAACTTGAAAAGTGTAATTTCTTATGTTACCCCCTTTAGGACAAACAAAAAATGTTTGAAAACTGTGTATTTTGCATTGTTGGATACCCTGTATGTTTGAGAAGTTAGCCTTTTTTTAAGAAATCTGTTCTTTTTTGCAGATTCGGTACATTTGTCACTGACATCCCAAAATAACGACAAATTCAACGCCAGTCTACTCAGCAAAATAGAGAATTTAGAGAAGCAGCTGAGTATTGAATTGAAAGTGAAACAGGGTGCTGAGAATATGATTCAAAGCATTACTGGAAAAGATAAGAAACTGTTATTTGAGGCCCAGCAGATGTTGCAGGATTCGAAGAAGAAGATCGAGTATTTGAGGATGAAAATTACAAAGGTATTGTTCCCTGACATAACGTGACTTAACATTTTCTCAGTAATTTAGATCACAAAAAAAAAACTAATGTATGAAGCACTCGGTATGCTTCAATTCGCGTACAAAGTCACTGAATTGGCCCTGACAGCTGTTTGACATATTAAACAGCAAAACGTCAATTAAATAAAATTTGAGATGTAAACCTCATGGTGTCTTGACACCCAATCAAACGGCCTTAAATAAAGAAATAACAACATGGAATACACATAGATCTGAATATTATGTTTTATAAGTCTGTCCAAATCGTGATTCTATCATTTCAACTATCAGACAGATGCATGGGAAACCACAGAAGTATGATACACATGCATTAATGCTGCTCAATCATGTGACATCCTTATCACTACGTATATATTCAGAAATTAGAGAAGTTTTCTAAAATAGTTGTCATTTTGAACTGATGGGAGCTATCCTGATAGAGGTTATGATTGGTTTCCTCACACAGAATAACCACCAGTGTAATTTATCTCTTGAAAATATTAAATAACCATGCTGATTGTGTCGATTTAATGTCGCTTGTAAATTTTTATATTCCAAAAGTAAATACACATTGAAGTGTTACGTTGTATAATAGGACTCCTAGAGTTAATGTATCGACCAATTCACCTGTAAATGTAATGTGTACTAACTTTTCGCATTGTTATATTAATCACATCATGTTGAAACAACTAATAAATGCGATTGACTATCAGTTTAATCAACATAATAGGCATTAGTTAGTAGCTATCTTTATTTGGGATATGGTACCATAAGAGTTGACATTTTTGATTTGTTGCTTTGCTATACTTACGAATTTTTTTGTGATGGTAGTTTTTTCACTTTCTTTCTATTTAATCTGAAGTGAGTAATATTGTCCTTCAATTGGATTTTGAATCTGTTGGGCAATAAACTATTGATTTATTTATACCTATTAAATTCAATATTGTGTTTGTACTGTGTATAAAACTTTGGTTTTGTGCAGTACTAGAAAAGATATATGTATATGAATTATTAGTCATGTCCTTGTGTCCAATCCATGCCTTAAGCTTGATTGCACATTTTATCTCATTATGGTGTTTTTTCATTCACATGAGTGACATTTTACCATTTTAGATGTTTGCCTTTATTAGGTAAAGCAATTACGTTTTCATTTTAAATTAATATCCAAACATTGTATACTAAGTGACATATAAATCCGAACACCCAGTTTAAATTGTTTTATTTTAATAAAATGTTGCATAAGTACTTAATGAAGCATAATAAGTAAATGATAAACATTTCAAAATGATTGCTCTGCTTTAAAGCCCTTTGACCTTTAATAATGTGTGGATGCACCCTGATGTGCTACGCATTCTCCAACGCGCCTAGGCATGCTTCTGATCAGGTGGTCAATGTCCTCCTGTGGTATCTCATTCCAGGCAACCACCAATTCCTCTCGGAGTGCTTCTAGAGTCTGAGGAGGATCTTGCAAATTGAGCAATCTCCTACCCATCATATCCCACACGTGCTCAATTGGGGATAAGTCGGGAGATCTTGGTGGCCATTGTAACAATGTGACATCATTATGTTGAAAGAAGTCTATTGTGACTCTTGCAACATGCGGTCGGGCATTATCTTGTTGGAAAGTTGGATCTGCCAGGGTGTCAAGATAGGGTAAAAGATGGGGTTCTAGAACTTCGTGGATATAACGCTGCGCGTTCATGTTACCTCTGATGAAGATTAAAGGTGACCTGGAACCATAAGCTATAGCACCCCAAACCTAACTCCAACAGTGTGATGAACATGTCTTTCAACAAAAAACTGTGGATTCCTCCTTTCACCACGTCGCCTTCTAACCCTGGGCACGACCATCGTGCATGCCTAAACAAAATCGAGACTTGTCACTAAAGACAATACTGTTCCATTCCTGATCCCAGAGTGACCGTTGTCTACACCACTCAAGGCGATTACGTCGGTGTTCTCGAGTTAAAGGGAGGACCCAGTGTGGCCGGTATGAAAACAAACCAAAACTTCTCATTCGTCGGTAAACACTTCGCATGCCAATAGGTCTTCCGTATTCTGCAAACCATTCATTTGCAATGGACCTGGTAGTAGAGAAACGGTCCCTTAAGGCCAATAATCTTAGGCGGCGATCTTCACGGTCTGTTGTTCTACGGCGGCGTCCAGTGCCCCTTGCTCTTTGCGTACGGCCTTCTCGAAGCCATGCCTGACAACACCTAACCACAGTGTCTACAATTCTTTGCACTCTAACTGCAATTGCCGAAAAGAAAGTCCAGCTTCCCGAAGTCCCACTATACGGCCCCTATCAAACTCACTAAGTTGACGAAATCGTACAGGTCTCCGTACTATAGGCATCGTAACCGATCGTAAAGGATGTCAAGAACCAAAATCCGCCAACGTTGATTCTTTACTGCGGCAGAAATAGTCATTTTTAGAGCGTTAGTGAATTAAAAAAAAGCAGTATAAAAACCGGAATGTCCAACTGATAAGGCTTAAAATTTTTCCACTTGTTATCTACAGTAAGATAAATACATTCACCAACTTTTACTAAAATAAAACCATTTAAACTGGGTGTTCGGATTTATATGTCACTTAGTATATATAGGTTTATTGAGGAATATGTTATACAATGCTTTAAAATGAAGCCCGATATGTATACTCTTTGAGGTCTTATCGAACTTTAATTCAGGCTTTTGGCAACCTGTGACAAGAAAATATTATACAGGGGTTTCTCGATTCTTTCTGTCTGCAACCATTAATAAAACGAAGGCTTATTACATACCTCACCATTTCTGTCATGCAATCCAGATATAATTGTTCACTGGGGTGTTTTATTGTTCTCTCCATGAACAGCATCTAGCAGTTGATTGTTGACAATAGAAATCAGGAAGGGTCGGGGTTGAGTGGGGAAGGGACGATCCTGGTCAGATTCGGAATTTTTTTTGTAGACGGTGAAACTGGAGGTTAGAGGTTTTGGGGAGGGTGAATGTAACGTCTTTAGTATTAGTCATAGACGTTCTATCATTAAGAAGCTTCTTATCCGGGTAACAACGGGAATATGAAATGATAAAAGTCTGATGTATAATATGATCATAATTCCAAATAACTTTGCAATCGTTGCGTACACAGCGCGATGCTGCATCGTCGTGGAAGCCACTCCGACTGTGCAATGGGTAACAAATTCCAACTGGTCTGCGGTGGTGTCGTCACTGTCAAATACAAATATTCATATATTTTCGTAATTTTTGAATATTAGGAGTAAGTACTACTTTAGCGTTCTGCGATGCTTTTTTAAATGATGACTTTTTGTAACCACACATATACTTTTCCGAATTTTTTCATCCTTAAATGTACCACCAGCCATTTTCCCTAACCTTTAATTTGCGTTACTCTGTCTATGTATGTAAAGTCAATGTACTTGACGCTATTTTTTTTTTCTAGTTGAAGCACGACGTTGACTCAAAGTCGCGTACCGGTTCCATGCATGATTTGGCAGACAACGGTGACATGTCTCAAAGTGATTTTGAGCCGCCATTGGACGAAAGGATAGAAGATTTGAAGCATAGATTAAGAGTGGAAACGGCCGTTGTAGAGGGTGCTAAAAACGTCATTAGACTTCTGCAGAACAGCAGCAAAGACAAAGGTGATAAAAAGGCACTCACTGAGGTAGGTGAAATTAGATTTGTGGATGTATTGACATTGCTTAGCATATTTCACCTGAAGATATCCGACCCATTCGAAAGACGTGTTTTTACTGCCTTTAATTTGGACATTCAGGGTTACAAATACGATATACATACAGCAGACTAGATGCTAGAATAAAAGAGAAGCCCAAAAATGAGGGAATTTAAGATAAAATTACACAATCTACATTTAAAACTTTGATATATGTATAATAGGTTACATTTTTTTGATTTTCTTGGTTTTTATACTAAAAACAAATCGGCATAACACTAACATTACTTAACCTAGCTGAAAATATATATATATACAGCATGGAGCGCAACAGTACACGACCAATTAATCACATACATCTAAATACATTTTCCTCGCAGCTATCTTAAATAAATCTAAATTTAAAAGTTTGAGGTGTCTAGGGATGCAGTGGTAGGTTTTGTAGATACTATATTTGAAACTTCTTTGGTACACATATGTTTTAGGTGACGGAGCCGAAATATTATATTTGTAACGGATGTTGACATCATGTTCTGCTCTTCTGAATTTCACTTTATTGTATAAGTAAGGCGGGTTCTTGGTAGATAGAATTTTATGGCAAAAGTATAATGTAACTACCTCAAAATGGGGTTTCATATTGAGCCAATGCAAGGGTTTTAATTTATAACTCTCTCATATTTGGATATATCAAGGTTAAAACATATACAAGTGTTCTGAACTCGTTGTATTCGACTAGATGTTTCATGTTCTAAGCAACGGGAGTAACCAGGAGTAAGTAGCATATGAGATTTGCGATATGATCAGAGATGTATAAAGCAATCTTTTAGCTTCACATGTAAGATAGGTTTTACGGGGATATAAAAGTTTTACTTTTACTTTAAGAAGTAAGCGCTTTGAATACCTTAATTTGCTAATATGTTTGAATCGCAAATTATTATCAATTATGAGTTGTAAATTTTTAGAGCATTTTTCAATTTGTGGTCTGCGGATAAATGTGCTACAGTTCCCAAGTCTTCATTTATTGTATCTTGAGCTTCAACCCAATTTGTATCAGGAAATGTGATGTACAACAACACTGTCATCAGCGTACATGTGCGATGAGCAGAATTCAAAGTGTTTATCAATATTTTAAATTGTGACAATCGACTTTTCGCCGTTTTTTAAATTGTTTGTCCAAAAAAAGATTTAAATGTTAAATTGACACAAAATGTTTGTAGTACATTCCCAAGAAAAAAATAACCATTTTCGGTGCTTGACATGCACAACAAAAACAAAATCTCTTTTTGGCTTGAATTTCTTTAGGTTATGACTGCAATCTCATGTTTCTTGCACTTGTAAAATACGCATACGCACCGGGGCGCCGCCTAGCCATGGATTGCTGCTGCATATGGGATGTCCTTGTTTTTCATTCAGAAATTCTCTGCGGAATAATTACGAGGGGTGAACCTCCCTTGAAAGGTTGATCTCTTTCTCAAAAATGAAAAATTTTTCTTGAAAAGAAAATCGAGTCTGTTTTCATTATTTCTAAGATAATTAGTACGAGCCTATTTGGTAACATGGTTGGGTATCTTCTTGGAGAATAGTACATAAATCAATAACTTTGTTTAACCTGGATTCATGCTTCTATAAAACGTAGAGATTTTGATTTTCTGATTAATTTTAGTATGGTAGAGATTTATACAAGTGTTATCAGTCATCATGAGTGATGATCATATGCTTTCATTTTGACATGTCGAAGTATATTGAAGAAATCTAGATCACTCATAATAACAAAGTATACCACCATTGGCAACTGCGCGACTGATGTCCGGGATATGCATATATCTCCGGCGGCGCAGTGGTGAAATGTTGAAGACTTTTAGAAATTTGCAGCTTTAGATGGACTTTTGAGAAATCAGTTATCATAAACATTAATATAATAAATTTGGAGATCATATATATATATCAGACATCGTTTTATAGGCCATGAATTCAGAAGAGTATTTATATAGTGCATCATATTGAAAACAGCTGCTGATATGCTTCATATACTTTTATAAATAACAAATTTACGTTTCCAAACAACTAGTTTTAATGGTTCTATCAACTTTTATGTGTTTCGTACGTCCATCTGTAAAAATATGCAAAATTAGGTTAGCTTATTTATACATATAATACACATTCATTCATTGAAGTTTGATCCACTTCAACGATGGGCTCTGGGATAATAATCTGCAGCATTCGAACAAGAGGTAAGAACTTTTCTTTTATATTAATGACCATTTTAAAAAAAATCAATTAAGTGACGTTTTGCTATATTTAACAGCATCAACTGATCTTATTGTCAGCATATTCAAAGAAGCAATATAGCTCAGGTCCAACCATAGGTTGAACTTTAGTTCCGTTTAGTGTTTTACTTCCCACGCCTACTAGCGGAGCAGTATTGTAATTGCGAAAATTTTCGAAAATGTCACTCATTAAGACTGCCTGTCCGCTAATCTTCTAACCGCCTATAAGTACCGCTCGGATTTCGATGAAATTTCTACGCACTGTTACTACTATGTCAAGGACGCAATAGCTATGTAGTTTTTGAAAATCGGTCCAGTGCCGGTGGAGAAAAAGGTCAAAAACAAAAAAAAACGCACAAACTTCGTTTTTTTGACGTTTCAGTCGATCCTGATCATTTTTAAAAAATTATGGCTTAAAAGTTCAAGGTTTAGGAGGTGGGGGAGAACATATCTCAATTTTTTGACGTTGGTATATTTATCCACCTCCAAACCTAGTTATTTTGCGCACATTTTAGGCATATTTCAGTCAGCATAGATGTCCCCGAACGTTTACCCTTGAAACTTAGAAATATCCCCTACAGTCGGGTGTCTGTGGTTGTACGTCATAGCCGAGAATTGCTTCCGCACTACTGTGGGCCTGCATACACTGTGCATGGTGAAGACCAGTATCGTCATTAACGGGGGATTGGGCATCGCAACGATGATGTATACCTGCAGCAATTTCCACAGGGGGAGGAGGGCGGTCGTTTAATTTTTTTTATACATGTTCGTGGCTAACTTTTTCCTCAGAAAACTTGATGCCGTTTTTATGAGGTACATTTTTTGACACCAAAAAACATTTTCTAACAAAATTATTGGCACGATAATTAAGGAATCGCATCTCTAATTTCCATTTTCGCGTTCCGCTGTGCTATGAAAAATTACAAAGTCGCAAGTGACTTGAAACGCAAGTACATTATTTGGCACGTTATCGTACAATTTTCTCAATTTCATGAACTACCTTGTACTTCATTTAAAGTGTTTCTACGCTAATTTCAATTTGTAAGATTTTGATCTGTAGCGATCCTGTCAGATTTATTGCGTCCGTGAATAATACACATAAAAACATACCGGTAGCAAATTGTATTCAGGGTGTTTCAAATTCGGCTCCCAAGAATAGGTTGTCGGGAACGGTATGAGCTCGTTTTTATTGTTTCATGACTGTTTTAGATGGTGTTAAAAAAACTGCATATCTGCATTTTTTATTTTCTATGCGGTGACAATTCTTTTTCCAATCCAAGGTTTCGTCTCTGACCATCTGTCCTCAACTTTATTGTAATAATAGTATTAATAATGTATTCTTGTTTGTACACTTAAGTGCTTACACACATAGAGAACAGTCTCAGCATTTGATCAATAAAAAACAATACAAAAAGTAGCGTATGCACTTAAAAAAAACATAAACAAAATCGAAAATAAACAAAATAATAAAACTGATAGTCAACAATTATGGAACAAAGTCGGTAAAATGATTATTTAAAAACTCGTCTATGCTGTAAAAAGCTTTCGCCACTAAATATCTTTTGTTTGTTTAAAAATGGTTGTGCTGAATGTTTCACAAAACCTGGGCAGAATATTTAAGAATTTTACACAGAAATAATTACTTCCGTGTGTAGTTTTTGATAGTCGTCCGTATTCTGGTATTAATTCATTATTGAACCTTGTATTATATTTGTGAATCTCTTTTGGAGTTCTGTAATCATCATAATTATTTTTAACATAGATCAGACATTCCAGAATATATGTGCATGGTACATTTTTTGTCTTTTTTTCCTCTTAACGCCATATTTGTATTTCGCAGGTATTGTTTCACGGATAGAGTTTTTAATTCTGATTTCAACGATGTCTCATGTAGTGAGAGTATGGAAAAATTATTGTTATGGTGTTAAATTTTTAAAGTGTTTCCAAAACCTGTCAAATCGCTGAGTATTGATGCTTTCCACAAGAAATTAAAAAAATCATTCTTCTGTATTGGTGAATATATTGACAAATCACTTTTGTGATATGCTTTTGTAAATATGTAATCATTATTTTTTATTTATTTTAGTCGGCTTTCCGCAAATGTTAATGTTCATATTTATTTTACTCCATTTTCGCTTGTGAGTTTATATTTATCATACTCTCCCGCATTTGAAGCTGTGTCAGTGTCTTTATTTATTTTTCTGGGCTTCACTTTTGCGCTTTGTTTGTATGTCTCTAAGTGTTATATGTCTTTTCAACAACAATTTTTTTGACCTGTGTAAACACATTTGTGTAGAAACACCAATAAATTATTATTATTATGATTTGAGAAACAATCTGTTTTTCCAGCTTATCTCTGAAAATACAACAGCAAGTTACTCTCACAGATCCTACTGAAGAGAGTCGAATTTGAAACAGACGGTAAAGAGGGACTACGGGTCGTCCACTTTAGGCACAGTGAAATGTATTTTTGTCCGGCGTTGTGTATAAATAATGCGTGATGCAACTGGTTGCCATTTGTTCTATTTCGGATTAACGTCTGTCACATTTTAGAGAACATGAATAAGATTGAACAATTATAACGCAAAAACAAATCTACGATATCCGGAAGTTAAAAACATACATATTTTGAGATTCCTTATGTTTGATCCTGTGGTTGCAGGCAATATAATTTCGCTGGTATTTTATTTTTGATTTTTCTGTGGTTATCAGATTTGAGATATT